TTTTTTTTTTTTTTGGGGGGGGCCCCCCCCCCCCCCCCCCCCTCTCTCTCTCTCGCTCCCTCGTTTATCCCTTACTTGCTGGGAGAGCGGTCATCGGCAAACACCGGATTCATCTCCCACCTCCCCTCCCTATCTGCGCCTTTCTGTGTTATCGATTTTGAATGTAATGTTTCTATCCCTGGCGACGGCATCCACGATGACTGGTTAGGTTGTGAAGGAGGCCGAGAGGGCGGTGCGGGCGGAAGCCGAGAAGAGAGAGAAGGACGGCAAGGAGAGGCTCACTCGGGTCATCAACGTGCAGCCGTCGCAGGGAGGTGCGGGAGAGAATATCAAGAGACACACAGTTATTAGATAAAGAACGGAGTTATACGTGCAATCCCTCCCCACCCCAGGTGTTGAAGGAGAGGTGATTATATTTTGTTGAATGAGCCAGAAAATTTCTTGTGCAAAGGTGACCAACAGATAGGCAAGAACGAACAAAGCTTACAGGTGATGCTAAGACACTAGTGGGTTCGCATAAGGCCGTTTGAATGCGGCAGGTCGCCCATATGTAATGCCGGCGAAATGGCGTGACGAAGAAGGAACATTCGATCTGTTGCATGCTCTGAACAGTCCTGGGGGGCCGGTAGTTAAAGGCTGGCCCAATTCCTTGGCAACATGAAGCCGTGTACAAGGACCACTACGGTAGGTGATTGCGCACGTTTCAGCTCCACCTGATGAGATATCCTTGATGTCAGTCGCCAGAGGCATGAAGAGCTGCTTACGGTCAGAGTTCCCTCCACTTCATGCACGAGCGATGCCCCCCTTTCTTCTCCAACGTTGTTTTTTGGCCATCCGTCGATCCTTGATTGACCAACACACGTTTTTCTTCGGCGTTGAATGTTACAATCACCCCTCCCGTTGCCATGGATCCATGCCCGGACTCTCCGATGTCTTTCGAACGCGCACGCCCCGGCGCGTAGCGCGATGTCTATCGATCCAACTCGCTCTCGAACGGACATGCGTCTTGATTACCCTCGTCGTGTCGTGATTGCTGCTGTCATCTGTTGCCAGGGTTTTTGGGGCAGCTTGGCTCTCTCTCCGGGGTCTCTGGAGGGTCGGGATTGTTTGGTCTGGGCAAGACCGCGCCCGCTGACCCGCCGGGCGATGCCCTGCTCAAGGTGTGCACCTTTGTAAACCGGTGTGTCGGGGTTCTGGGGCCATGGGGGTGGGTCCTCTCCGCCGTCGCCCAAATGCCGTGTGTTGAATTTTGATGGTCGTGGTGCCGCCCGTCTCTGCACTGTCCCAGACTCGGGCTGAGCCGATTTGTGCAGAATTGCACCGCCTTGTGGTTGTTTCGTGTGTTTCTCCTCTGTCCGACGTCTGGTCTTGCCTCATTTCCTTGGCTGGACGCGGTCGAGGGAACGTGTGGGGAAGATTCCCTCTTCCAGAGACACCACTCACTTCTCGACCATGAAAAACTTGCTGCGCGTTCTTGTGGTCGTGAAGAAGACCAGAACGGTTCGTTTGACAACGGATGTTGCCCTGGAGAAAGCCTGCTCAGCGTCCACGTTGCGCCCGCCCTTTGAGAAACGTCCCGTCGGCGATTGTCGTATTGTCTCTCCTGCGCCGCAGGGACTGGGATCGTTACTGTCGCCAGAAGCCTCCAGACCCATGGCCGTCCTTGACGACAACATCGGTGAGTCTTATGCTATGTCCTGGTATATATGTATGACCTTCGCCCCGAAAGCCTACACGATTGCTTGGTGATGAATGGAGTAGGGGTGGTAATCGTCTGGTCACTCGCCGGGAGCAAACTGAAAATGTAACAAAAAAAGATGTGATAAGAAATGAACAAGAAGCAATCTTGGGACCACATATTTTGGTGGTGAATGGAGAAGGATGTTGAATGTCTGGTCACTCCCCGGAACAAGCTGGAACACATACGGATACTCTTCCTTAAAACGAATCATCCCTTGCCATCTTTGCGGCGCACAGCGAGGATAGTCCCAGGCGTCAGCGGAGTCCCGGAAGAGCTGCGGAACCTTGGGGTGGGGCCTACGTTGTATTCGATGCTGCAAAGATCTCCCGGGCTGTCCGAGGCACTTCTGGAGATGGCCGGAAAAGTTGGACTGTCGTCCCTTCTCGGAAAGTAAACATGTGCTCCAGCACTTTCTGTCAGAGAGATTGTCTTTGGCCGGAGGTAGGGGTATCCTGTCCGCTCGGCTAGACGTGCGTTTCGACGGTTGTTCTTTTTTCTCTATTGACAGCCGCAAGCTCCATCTCTCCGCTTCACCGAGGCGAGCGCTTTGGGCAAATGCGTGACGTCTCTGTGTAGGCCGCTGAAGCGGGGTTGAGGGATGGCGAAAATTGTTGTGGCTGTAGTCAGACTATCGTTGCGCAGGCAGATGGACTTCAGCGCTTCCCCCCCTTGAGGGATGTGCGGTACCTTTCCTGATTTTTGCACGGCTTCCTCGAAGCTGTGTGGCTTGGTGTCTACGGTAGCATGAGCGAAAGGGAACCATGATTGAACGTGTGGGGTGTACACGTTTTGAAGAGCCCTGGTATCGCCAAGAGAGGAAAACAGCCGCTCGTCGTTGCACAGCTTTTCGGGAAGGGGCTAATAGATGGACCGGGAAAAGGGATACCCCACAATGTGTTGAAAGCGGCGCGCCAGTTGTCCAGGACATTGTTCCGCTCTCTGTTGTTCCGACAGGTAGGCCGACAACCGAAACCCTCATATTTTTGGCTGGTGTCGTTAGCAGTGCTGTCGGCAGGTTTTTCGCTCTAGAAAAATTAATTCTAGCAGATATCGCAGTCCGACTTCGGCTTATTGATAACGGCGGCCTGTGAATTGAGGGCGAGAGAGGCAGGACTCCAAAATTGGCCTTGGAAAGGGGGAGGTAGGCGGAAGAAAGAAGGTTGTACGTTTCGGGTTGATCGAAATTAGAATTGTTGAACGCGGAAAGAAGGGGTCTGGGCTAGGTTGGCCACGGTTGTGGGTGGGGAGGAGTGGCCGTTGGTAGGGCGTTGTATGTTGCTTGCCTCAAGTCACGACCATTGGTCACACATCTCGCCTGGACACGAGATTTTCGGATTTTTCTTGTCACGGTGCGAAGGCTCATGAGCTTTCACCGGCTGCCGATCGGACGCGCTGATGGACGCCCAATGGACAGTCCACGGGTCAATCATGGCACGCCCGTTGGGTGCCCATGGGATACCCATGGGACGCCCTATGAGACGCCGGTCGATCGCGCATGGGTCTCCCAATGAGCCACAAAACAACTGATGACAGGCTGTGACGGCCCATTGGCCATTGTCGGCCGCCCATGGGCCGTTATTGTCCTCTCCATGGAGTGACCAGCATCACTCATAACGGGGCGTCCACAGCGGTAAACGCATGAAAACGAAGGTATCGAGAACACAAGAACCCGAGGTCATGTGCCATGAACGAACGCCCTATGGGCAATAAGTGACGCACAATGGGACCCATGGAGGCCCACCACGACCTACAAGCGGACCATGCGCGGCCCCATGGCTACTAATGTGCGGTCAATGGACGGGCCTGGGACATCCGACGGATTCTACTGCTGTACATGGCGACCACAATTGAAGCACATGGCCTACCCACGGGCACCCATCATGGGACATGAGTGGATCACAACGACCCATTGACGGCGCATTAGGGAGGGTAGCGACTCATCACGGGCATTGACTCTGACGAAATGCGTGGGCCGTACGTAAAGTGGGTCACAGTAGGGGCCGTGTTGCGCTGCCCATGGGCAGTACGTTGAGGCCAACGGGCCGCACAAGGAATTTGACCTGGGAGATGACCCACGTGTTGAAGTCGTGAAACGTCTCTTGGGACGAAGGGCATAACCAACATTCAACGTACACATCCACGCGGCTTTTTGGCACACAAGCGGACGCGTTGTCTTCATCCGACTTTGAGGCCAAAATCAGATGAGATTCTCACCCGGCCGCCGAGTAGGAAAAAATCTGTACCTACGTACCCAGCAGGTGATCTTGGATCGGCAAGTACCCAGATAGATCGCTTGGGCTTAGGCGGTTGTCCTGAAGTCAAAACTCATCATGTCAAGAATGACCTCAGCAAGCTCTTTCACGCAACGTCATGAGTCAAAGTCATCGCCGTACTCTTCCTCTTCCACCTCCTCCTCCTTTTTCTCCTCCTCCCATTCCTCCGCGTCTTGGTCCCAAATGGCATCCTGCATCGCGAGGGAAGGGGAGACCATTGTGAAGGTGGGAATCAGAAAAGGCAGGCGCGTGACCCTTTAAGTTCTCAAATGTCTAACTGAGGTCACAACGCCTACCATCATTGAACGACCCCTCCACCTGTCTCGTACTCCGCTACGGATGTCACTGGCCCGATGTGCCCTCTACATGTGTCGTGTTTCCCCAAAAAATCAAGGAGAGCGAGGGCAACTCACACGCAGATTCTTTCCATGCGGCATTTCACGACGAATGCAATCACACCAGTTACCAACTGTGACAAAAAGAATATGCTGCGATCCGATCGTGTTGATCCCAGCAGAAAAGGTGCAACTGCTGGTGCAATACCACGTGGCGATTTTTCTGAGTTGTATCGCTTGCTAATGTTCTTTTCGGGGCCTTGCAAGGCACCCGGCCTACTACCTCGAGCTCCTCCTCATCGTTTTCATGCATGCTGTCGATCTCTTTCGGCGCCACGAAAGGTGGCGGCCCTGGGGCAGCATCGGCAGCATCCTCGTCCACTTCCTCGACCAACGAGTCTTCGGCCTGAACAGGACCGAGTGTTTCACACCAGGGCTCAACAAAAAGTTGGGAAATCTTTGAAACCAATCGTCCGTGAAAATTTTTCGAAAGCATTGGACTGCTGTAACGGAGTAGTCAAAATTGCTTTTGGAAGTGCAATATTTTGCAGCTGGAGTGAACGTGGCGAGGGACACCAAGTTTATTTCTTCTTCTCGCCGTAGGCCGTGCAACACAACAACGCCAAACAACCGCTGTACATCGTTGGTGTAGAGCACATGTCCTACTGCAAGATTTTGGGTCCGTGGACGGCGAGAAGGTTGATGATTGCAACAAGCTTTCAGAGTGAAATCGGTTCACTTGAGAACCATCGCGAAACGTGGGAAAGGGGTACAGTTCGAGACGTGTTCAACACTCATCAAGTTGGCCCTCGAAGGGGATATCAATGATGAACTCTCCAACCATCGCGTACATGACTACGATATGTCAATGAAAGGCGGCACCATCGGCTTGCTGGAATCGCCGTCGAACACTCGCCCCCCCGGCAGTTTGTGAAACCGGTGTGTGTGCGCATTAGCCCTGTGTACGATCATACCGTTCACTTTGAGGTTTTCCTCATCAGATTGCGTGACTAACTAGGTTTTACAAGTCTACAACGTGATGGTGAATACAAGTACTTATGTGTTCACCTGCGAAGCGAAATCAGCATCGTACTCATCCTCTTCGGCGGAGATGTCGTTCTCCCCTTCCTCAGCTCGCACTGGGCCACCGACCGCGTCTCTTGTTACTCTTACGTCTGCCCTTCCGCGATGTCCGTTGCTGCTGTTGCTGTTGCTGTTCGTGCTGCTGCTTTGCACAATACTGTCGCTTTGCACAACGGGTCCAATAGTGCCTCCGCGCGACGTTCTAGAGTCTTGTGGCTCTACGGCCGATCTGAAGAGTGATTCTGCGCCGTCGGTCCTGCTGTGAGAAGGGTCACTATGTGTGGTGCTGTCGCCACAGCTGCTTCTGTCGCAGGAAGAGTGACTGCCGCTCTCCCAATGAAAGTCGAGATCGTCGGTGGCATTAGCGGCATTTGCAACAACGAGAGTTTGTTCCTCCCTCGTGCCACCCCCGCGGGTCGCTGCCTCTTCCACAGCTGGCTGAGACCCTAGGTTTCTTCTACCTGCGTCCGAAATATCGTTCATCACGGCTGCTTTCGCTCCTTTGTTCCAGCGCTCAGATGTCCGCACAACACCGCTAGTGAAATCTTGCCCTGTCCGAGGGACTGGCTCCAACTGGTGTCCTGTTTCTCCCGTAATGCTTGATGCCGGCGTCTGCTTGCTGCTGGTGCTGTTTGTTTTGTCGTCTCTGTTGTTGCAAGAGCCGCTGTCAGCCGCGATACGACTAGCAGAGCCTCTGTTTTCACAAGATAGCTGATCCTTTTTCTGTCCATTTGAATGAGAACATGATCCGCCCGCACTGCAATCTTCTACAAGTTCCTCCAGCCCAGCCGCCTCGAAACTGCCATCCCCGAAGTGTATCTCCGCCTCTGGAGCGACTGTTTGGCTGTGTCGGATGCCTTCATGCACAATAGCCTTTTCATTTGTCCCGATCTCCTCTTCTCTTCTCTCCAAGCTTGAGGGCGCAGCGATAGTTGTGGTGGTGATAGCCGGGTTCGTTCTGGGCGACGGTTTGCCATCTGCACCCCCTCCAGGAGCAGTAGCAACGCCATCGACCAAAGCGACAGAATCTTCGCCCACTTCCGCGGCTTTCGAGGAATTCTCTTGCCCGAGCACCCCGGCTGCCACCGTACCATTTGCCTCTCGACCTCTTGAAGGAGAGCACCCGTCATCCCTAGAGTCCGGCACGGTGGTCGTGGTCATCCCTGGGCGTTCGGGGTTCCTTCCGGATCGTCGCCTATCACCGTCGTTTCCGGTGTCGCTGCCGTTCTCGCCAGAGGTGGTGGGTTTGTTGCTGACTTTGCCGTGGAAGTCGTGATTGTTGGTCGCGATCTCTTCGGCGGTAGCTGGGGTGGTTCTCGCTCCACCTCTGATCTTGCTGTTGTCGTTGTAGCCATCGGTGTGGGCGTGCTTGTCGGGAATTCTAGCGCCCTGACGACGAGAGGTTGTGACTTCGTCCCCTCGATGCATCCTATCTCGGTTATCAAACTCCCACGGAATCAGGACTCGTGGTCTCGGCCGATGTTGCGCCGACGGAGTATCAGCTCCCGCACCATCTGCTGAACCAGGCGATGACAATGAGATCAAGCATTGTGCCCACCTTTTTGCTTCAACGGTCACATTGTCCATGTTGAAACACCCACCAAACAGAGACCGTAGTAGTTCCTGCAGGGAATCGTGCTGGACAATACGAAGTTCAACGATGTACCATATCATTTTTCTCGTTTGAGTTTGGAGTGGATTCGTCTTCGTCACGACCCCTGCTTCACCTGTGATGTTTTCGTCTTTTCTTGTACCGCCGATCTCTCGCTTGTCCGTCTTGAACCCCCAAGACTCCAGCGCCCTTCTCACTCTGTTGGGTAGACACGTGCTCGTCCCCAGCCGAGGCCACCTTCCAGAAGCGAGCTTAGAATGGATGACCTGGGCGTGAAGCTGGTGACCCCGGTTCGGATGCCGCGCCGCCACCTGCGAAGCAGCGGAACGGCGTACGCTGAGGACGTTGTTTTTTTGTGCGTCCTCGCAATATTGATTCAACGGATGTAACGCGATAGGTCCTAGCGTCCAAACCTCAAGAGTGCTATGATACTGCCGTTGCCTTCGGTTGCCCTTATGGTTCACTGAAGCGTGACCCCAACGGTGCAACACAGCATATTCAATCGCTCTTTCAACGTGGGCATCTAAACCGTACGAGCACGTCAACGTGTTTCGGTTGAGGACATTGGCCGCCCTCGGGGTTGCGCGCAACCTTCTCCCTGCAAGTGTTTTACAACATGCTCGCTGTAGTGTGATTTCGGTCCCCCCTGCCACGCCATGCAGAAAGAGCTAAAACAAGACAACGAGCTTTGTTTATGCGAATGTTTCTTACATACGTCCCGCGAAGCATCGCGCGCGAATGTTCCCAAATAAGGCGACGTGCAAACGTTTGTGTCACAAGGGTTTCGACTGTACGCTGGTACCTCCTGACAACAAGCAACAGCTGAACCCCACTCGTTGCGATGCAAACAGCCGCCCGAAAGCAAACTGGGTGTATGACACAGATATCCTGAAAGTTTGTCAATGCAATGGAGGGAGGGCCGCGGAAGATGATATGCAACATCACCTGAACCTCGAGCGCCCCTACGCGCCGCCGCCGCAACGTGGTCGCGCTTGCATTGGCGCTACCGCTGCCGCCGCCATCACCCCCCGGAGACAATGTCCTGGAACGGAGCGGTGATTTCTTGAGGACGACTGCCAGCCGTACCGGCAACTCTCGCAGGCTCTCTATCAAGAGTTCCTTGACAGCGTTCGCATGGCTAAGGTAGACCTTGGGATCGAACGGAACGTAAAGAAGGCGGCATGTGGCAGGAGGATCATCACCATACAAGCCTTGTCCTATACAGTGTATCGCATCACCGATGCGAACGAGGGGTGAAGGGTTCGAGGGTTGAATGGGCTGCCCGCGTATGTATTGTTCATTCCTTAGGTCATCAAGGATGGAAAAAAAGAACCCAGGAGGCAGGGTAAGGTCTACCGGCGGACGTTCTGGGGTCTCAGACGGAACTAGAAACAGCAGGACCAATGCTTATGTTCCCGAGTATTCCCCACAGAAGCGAAGGACTGACTCGTCCAGCAGCCCAGCAAATGCGACAATGACTTTTCTTCCCCTCGTGACACTTTTGGTCGCGAGATGTGTTGACAATTACACTCTGTCGGCGCTATCGTTCGCGCAACACCTCATTTTTCTTCACCTGAGGGTCATGGCGCGTCGTCATCCGGTGCCGGTGGCAGCCATGGCAGTGCTCCACCGTTACGACCACATCCCCCTTCTCCATTTCCGCGTGCTCCGGCCAAGACACCATTGGGACCGCGCTCGCCAGTCCATCTCCCTGGAAGGAAAAGTGACGCGTGTTGCAGGATTTANGGGGGGGGGGGGGGGGGGGGGGGGGGGGGGGGGGGGGGGGGGGGGGGGGGGGGGGGGGGGGGGGGGCATGACACGCCTATAATGCATACTCTGTTCTGCTATTGAGCAACTTAACCAATACATCCCGAGGTTACGGGGTCCGGAGGCCGGAGGAAGATACATGGCCAGGCCGTTCTTCCCCCAAGGGACGATCGTGGAGAAAGTCTTCTCCCCCCAAGGGACGACCTTCGTTGCTGGCACATTGGCCCTAGTCACTGACCATCAGTTTTCTTCTCGCTCAAGCGAAACGCTGCGAGACTATAAGGCGGAATTCTAGTCCGGTCTCCGCTCAAGAGCGATGTGCAAAGTCGAAATCATCGGAAAACCGCTTTCGCAAAAATCGACGAGAGTTCCATGCTAGAAACTCTTGGGCCTGACATGACGCAGAAACAACAGGATTGCAACCAGTATCTCAAATAATTGCCGCCATCCACTCAGCGGCACCGATGTGCTTTCCTCAGAGCTTTGATCTTGGCTCCCCGACGTTTTGCCCGTAGGTCCGACGATGGATTTAGATGTTGAAGCGTGACGGAGAAAGGAAAGAGTCACCTTCTCTTGACGAACGGTCTCGACGTAGCGCAACACGCTAGCCTCCACCGAGGGGGTGGGCCAGCGCGGCCTTGTTGGCCTTTTGGGAGGGCGTGGCGGCTCCAATCGTGGTCCTTCTCCCCTCCTAGCGAAGCGGGGCCCTCCTCCTCGTCCCCAGCTGTCCTAGTGCATGTCATAAAAATTATATATGGGGAGGTGACCCGGGGGAGGCGGTAGACTGGGGGGCACAAACAGAGAGAAGTTGCCTGACATGACGAAGAGTTCTTCCAGATGTTCTTCGTAGTTTGTGTCTCTTCGTGCACTTCTCCTTCCCGTCGCTCACCAACCTCGACTACCGACCCCCACCGTTACCCCGGCGTCAGTGTTTGGCATTCGTATGTGCTGGTGTACATTTTGTTGCCTCTTCTGGGCACAATCGCAAACGAGGCTAGATCAACCGAATACCTTAAAACGATTGCGTGAACAAGATGTCCACGGCTTGTGTTTCATCTGGGTCTTGCTGGGTGCTTAAGCCAGGGTGCAATAGCTCGCTCGCCTCTCATCGTCACTCCCTGAATTCGTCGTCCAGGCTCGAGCGGGATGTGCGTTCAACTACTGAAGCACTTCGAAGCAAGAAGCATATGAAACCTAAGCCAATTATGTACTCTTCGGGCTTGTGTCCACGGATCCCTTCAGGCTCGACACAAGCCTGGCGTTCACGTCAGCCACGAAGCCCTGCACGCGACCTGCAAGGTTCCTGGTGGACTGAGACCTTTGGTGCTCTGAAAAGCGCGATAACTCATATGGGTGTTCCTCGCCCTATGTGCCGCTGCACCACAGCTTCCCCCCCCCCCCCCCCCCCCCCCCCCCCCCCCCCCCCCCCCCCCCCCCCCCCCCCCCCCCCCCCCCCCC